CTAGAGAGAGAAATCAGATATGAGATCTCAGTTCTCAGATCTTAGATCATAGAGATCCGATGTTGGGTTTCTGTTGCCGCAGCCGCAGCCGCTGCCACCGTCGCTGTCGCCGTCGCCATCTCTATCGTCATCGTCTTTGCTGATGAACATTAGATGCTTCTCCTCTTCCTTCTTTCCTCCTTCCTTCTTTTCTTTCCTTTTCTTTTTTTTTTTTTCCTTTTTGCCAACAACACCACATATGTAAAAGAGTAATGGATCTGAACTATTCGACTCAAATGCTCAAACCGCTGACCCGGAAACCAATGGCCACAACAATTCCATTTCCAGGTCAGCTTTTAAAACCTTGGTAGGAAAGTAGCTATGGTTTGAAGGAAAAGTATAATGTTTAGGAGGTCAAGAAATTCTTGTTGAATGACACAAAATAGAGACAAATGATGAAGTCTTAGGTGGAGGGATAGGAGAACTTACAAGAGCTGATGGTACAGATGGACCGGTATCTAGTGATGAAGGAGGATGCATAGAGGCTGGAGAGATTGGCCACTTTTGGAAGAAGATCTGAAGAAGCTTCGAAAGAGATGTAAAGGCTTTTGAGGAATCAGTGGAATCAAATCTGTGTAACAAAGATACAGAAGGACCGGGCAGTTTAACAATATGTTCATAGAAAGAGATTCTCAAGGAAAGTAACATTGCAAGATATTGGAATACGATGCGCTTTGGGATCATATAAAAAAAATCCCTTATGGTCAGGACTACAACCCACAAAAGCACACAAGGCAGCTTGAGAAGTTAACTTAGTGCATTCTTGTGGGGGGAGGTGAACAAAACAAACACAACAGAAAATACGAAGCATGGAAAATTCTGAAGGACGATAAAAAAGAGAATGGAAGGGAGAAGAATTACCTAGAACCAATGAGCGAAGAAGATTTATCAAATACATAGCAGTGCTGGCCACCTCCTCCCAAAACCAAACAGGAACATGGTAATCTTGCAATTGTCAACACTCTTGGCTGAATAGAGAAAAGAACAAGAATAATCTTAGAGGTGTCAAGAATAAAAATGACCCCTACCTCAAAGAGTCTCTTATATATTAAAAGATATGTACAATTACAAGAATGCCCATATAGGGCTGAAAGAGAAAAGAAGAATAAGATGTACAAGTAATATACAACAGGGACTATACTAATAGGATACATCAAGTTACAAAGTCTCCACACTCCCCCTCAAACTGATGCCTAGACATAAGCATAAGTTTGTCTATAAGAAAGAGATGTCGAACTCTAGTCATAGCTTTGGTGAAGATATCAACAATTTGCATGTCCGAGGTTACATGAGGAAGCGATATAGACCCAATAGTGAAAAGATCTCGGATAAAGTGGCAGTCCACCTCGATGTGCTTGGTCCTCTCATGGAAGATAGGGTTAGATGCAATCTTGATAGCACTCGTATTGTCTGCATTGAGAGGAATAGGAGTAGGAAGCTGAATGCCAAGATCCATAAAGAGAGATCGTAACCAAACAATTTCATTACAAACCGAAGACATGGCCCTACACTCTACTTCAGTGGAAGACTTGGAGACTATTTGTTGTTTCTTACACTTCCAAGAGATGAGTGAATCACCCATAACAACACACCACCCAAAAGTGGACCTACGAGTGTCTGGACAACCAACCCAATCCACATTAGCATATGCTCTCAATTGAAAATAGGAGAGGAGGAGAAGAACAGTCCTTGAGAAGTTGTGCTTCTAATATATCGAATGATGCGATGAACAACAATCATATGAGGCTGACGAGGAGCAGAAACAAATTGACTAACAACCTGAACAGCATGAGAAATATCAGGCCGAGTCATAGTGAGATAAATGAGAGACCCCACAAACTGACGATACAAGGCAGCATTGGGAAGTAATGGACCTTTAGATTTAGATAACTTAAGATTTAGCTCCATAGGTGTATCAACATGCTTTTCATCATTAAGACTAACAAGTTTAACAAGGTCAGAGGCATACTTTTGCTAACAAACAAAATACCCTCGATCACTATGATGTACTTCCCGTCCCAGGAAATAGGTGAGAGGGCCTAAGTCCTTCATGTGAAAGGAATTATGAAGTAATAGTTTCAATTCACGAATGCTCTCAGCATCATTCACAGTCAACAACATGTCATCAACATATAGTAGGAGAATGGTAATACCCTGAGGCTATCGCCTAACAAAGAGAGAGTGATCAGAAGAACTCTGACTATATCCAACAACAACTACAACATCGCGAAAGCACTCAAACCATTCTTGGGGAGCTTGTTTTAGACCATATAGAGATTTTTTGAGGCGACATACTAAAAAAGGATCACTGCAGTATCCAGGAGGAGGCTTCATGTAGACCGACTCCTTCAACTGACCATGAAGAAAGGCATTCTTCACACCAAGCTGACATATGGTCCAAGGTTGAGCGACAGACACTGCTAAAAGAACACGGATTGTGGTGATCTTTGCAAAAGGAGCAAAGATTTCTTCATAGTTGATACCATACTCCTGACGTGCCTTGTATCGATCAAGAGATCCATCAAATTTCAACTTGATGTTGTAAACCCAACGACTCCCAACAGTGGATGCATCTGGAGGAGCAGAAACAAGATCCCAAGTGTCATTCTCATGTAAAGCATGAATCTCTGCATCCATGGCTTCCTTCCAATGAGGGCTACTATTAGCTTCTTGGTAGGAGCGAGGAACATCTGTGGAGGATAGGATAACAGACGAAGAGCTATGGTTTAAAGGAAAACCATAGCGGTCATGAGGTCTAGATATATGAGTAGAACGACGAAGAGGAACGGAAGTATGAAGAGTGCTTGAAGTAGAGGTATCACTTACAGGAGCAGTGGTAAGATGATGATCTGAACCGGGAGGAAGGAAAGTCGCAGGTGCAGGGGATGGAGCATGTAACTACTTGCGAGAGAAGACGAGAAGGTCCTCAGCAGAAGGAGGTGTAGCATCATGTTAATCAAATTTTGGCAAAACAAAAACATACTGTGCAAGCAGTCTAGCAATTCTAGCAAAAAAGGAAATGTGCTCAAGGAAAACAACACTACGTGATATACGAATACGATGAATAGAGGGATCATAACAAAGAAAGCCTCTATGGTCAGGACTGTAATCCACAAAGGCACATATGACAGACTGTGCAGACAATTTAGAGCGTTCACGAGAGGGAAGATGAACAAAGCACACACATCCAAAAACATGAAGCATAGATAAATTTGGAGAACAACCAAACAACTTCTGAAGGGAGACATATTACCAAGAACAGAGGAAGGAATATAGTTGATCAAAAACACATTTGTACTAGCTACCTCGACCCAAAAAGAAGGTGGAGTATGGAACTCCTGCAATAATGTTCTCACAACACTAAGGATATGTCCATTCTTGCGCTCAACCACACCATTCTGCTAAGGGGTATTTGGACAACTTCGTTGCACTTGTATTCCATGATTCTTCAAATAGGATAAAAAATCTCCGTCAGTGTATTCTCCCCCTGAATCCGAACAGAGAATACACACTTGTGATTGAAATCGAACCCGTACCATAACATGAAACAACTTAAATGTTGGGATCACCTCAGACTTGTGGCGAAGAAAGTATATCCATGTGTACCTGGTACAGTCGTCAATGAACGACACAAAATATTTGTATGCAAGCTGAGAAGTGACAGATGCAGTCCAGACATCAGTATGTATAAGCTCGAAGGGAGAGGTAGCATGCTCAGATATGTGAGGAAATGGTAAGGTACGACTCTTACTTAAGCAACGGGAAACACAAGATGTATCAAAGATGTGCAAGGAAGGAACTTTATTCTTAATAAGGCTTGAATCAAACAAAAATTTTAACTTTTCAGCATGCAAATGACCCAAACATTTATGCCGTAAGTCCCAAACATTATTTCTATGACTCATAAAGGAACTAGAAGTGGAGGAACTGAAATAAGCTGATGATGCTGCTGTTTGAGACTTTCCCAAACATTATTTCTACCACCTCCTTTTGTATATCTTCCCATGAGTCCACCACCACCTCTCCTATCTGAATTCTCTAAATGAGGTTCCTCCTATTCCTTGCACTTGCAAAACCCTGAAAATATGCTACTGATTAAAAAAGTCTGAAATATACTGTGTTCTTATCTCCCTCCACCTCTCTTCAGCCCACTCCAAAATTTGGTTCTTGCAATCAGACATTTCAAATCTGAAAGTTTTCACTCCATTTACAGCTACAAACTTTCTTAAAAAAATTGGTTTATGTTCTGACATTCTTAAGAGTCAAAGCTTCTTGAACCACCTCCCCCACATACTCCACCCAATTTCCTAAGAATAAGAACCTGTCCAGCCTTCCAAGGATAGCTGGAAACTGACCATTCAACCAGGTGAATTTCCCACCACTTCAAGGTTGCAGATTTGTTGCTCATTTTGGAAAGAGCTTGTTTTGACTTTTCTAAGCCTGAGAAGTGGGTTTGGTTTCTATATCCTAACCGTCTTTTCATGTGTTCCTCTTTCTCTAGTTCTTTTTGCCTTTTCTTCACAAGCTCAACCTTTTCCTTTTGAAGAAGTGTGATGCAGACATATCCCTCCTAAAATAAATGCCTTTTGTTGGGAAGCTTGTGATGGGAAGATGGAACACATTGGACAATCTGCAAAGAAAGTCTTTTTATTTGTGTTTCCCTTAATTAGTGCAATCTTTGCAAGTCATTTTCTTCCCAGTTACCTTTTCCTCGTGTTTCCCCTAATTATTATGCGATATCTCTCTTTCTGCTTTTCTCTATTTAAGACTTGTTCCACTGAAGCATCTAGAAAAACAAGTATTGTTTACATGTTGAAAATCTGAGATAATTGGCCCATTATATACTTTTCATTTAATGATATGAAAATCCTTATTCCTTGCCTGGTTGTTTGTCTACTTAGGTTAATCTTGACTTTATAAAAAATGATTCAAGTTCCTTTCCTTGTTCTTTGTTATATCAGACAGATTGGTCGAGTGCACTTCTTTGAAGAGGGCCATTGAAGTTGTTTACACTGCAACCTTGCCAAAAGCATCGAAGCCTTTCATTTACATGTCTATTGTGTTGCCGCCTGAGCATGTGGATGTGAACATACACCCAACAAAAAAAGAGGTATAAGTACTTTGGATAAAATGTTTTTGAGAAAAAAACCAACTTTCTTGTGGGTAAATTGGATTTGATTCCTAGTAACAAAATAAACTAGATAATTATTGATGAAAATACTTCTTGTCCTTATCTCCAATATGGATAACTTAGGAGAATTTGAAGGAGAAATAGATGAAATGAATTATTTGGTTGACGAGCATGAGATCCCGTCTACCCCTCCCAATTCATTGGATAGCCAGGACCACCATTGGTTAATGACACTATATGGAAGATATTATCAAGTGCTATCAACCTCACTTGACCAATAATTGTCTTCTTGACATAAGGATGTCAAAAAGTCCAGATTATATGAGGCCTTTACTAATTCTAACGATTCCATTGACCTATGTGCCAATCCAATGGCTATGATTCTAATGTTGCATTTTGTTGTCAAGAAGATGGAACAAAGGATCAGAAAATTTAAATAATGTGATTTGCCTTAGTTTAGCTGGCAATGGAATTCAAAAGAAAAAAAAGAAAGTTAAAGTTACATTTAGTTCAATTGCTAGCTTTCTGATTTCCCTCAGTAAATTCTTGTATTTTCAAGTCCCCAATGCATTGTTCTTCAGCTAGCCTACCATTATCTTAGAATCTTCTTCCATCATTATATTCATTATTTTCTTTCTTGGAGAGAGAGGAGAGGAGATGAGAAGAAGAGAGCGAAAAAAGTTTGGGAGTCAAAAGTATTGCTGGCGGTGCCTAGCTTCTTATTTATAATGATATATAACATAATAATAAATGGGAGATTACATTTATACCCCTGGCGACACACCCTAATAATAAACTAATTAAAAGAAGAAAAGAACAAGCTGACAACATCCTAGGATGACAACACACTAACAACAAAGATAAAATAATAACACTAACAACACTCCCCCTCAAGTTGGGCTGAATATGTCTATCATGGTCAACTTCTCACACAACTCATTGTGTCGTGAGTATGGAAGGCCCTTTGTGAGGACATCAGCTAGTTGCTCCTTGGAGTTGACATAAGGAGTACAAATTTCTCCCTTTTCCAATTTTTCCCTTATGAAGTGTTTGTTCACTTCAATGTGCTTGGTCCTCTCGTGCAGGAGAGGATTGCTGGCAATTCTTCTGGCTGCCTTGTTGTCACACTAGATAGACGTAGGATTATGAACAATAACTCTAAGTTCCCCTAGAAGATTTTTTAGTTAAAGTACTTCAGCCACCCCATGTGCCATAGCCCTTTACTCCGCTTCAGCACTTGACCTTGCTACCACACTTTGTTTTTTGCTTCTCCATGTCACTAGATTTCCTCTCAGAAATGTGCAGTACCCACTTGTGGACTTTTTGTCATCCACAACACCTACCCAGATACCAGGCCTGTTCCTGGATACTTTTTCAAATACATATGAATCCTCTCTGTTGCCTCCATGTGTGGTTTATTAGAGGAATGCATGAATTGGCTCAGAACCCCAACTGAATAAGCAATGTCTGGATGGGTCATGCACAAATAAAGCAACCTTCCTACTAACCTTTGGAACTGTTTCACATATTTCAGAGGTTCACCATCATAGTCACCCAATTTATGGTCAACATCCATAGGGGTATCTGTTGGCTTTGCACCTAACTTGCTTGTGTCTTATAACAGATCAATGGTGTAATTCCTTTGTGAAATGAATATGCCCCTTTTTGAGTGGGCAACTTCAATTCCAAGAAAGTACTTGACCCAGATCTTTCACTTCAAATTGAGATGCTAGGAAATGTTTCAACTTTTGTATTTTTGAGCTCCAATTTCCTGTAATGATGATATCATCCACATATACTATCAACACAACAACCTGTTCCTGACATCTCTTCACAAAGAGAGTGTGATCGGACTGACATTGCTTGAATCCTACTTGTTGGACTGCCATATGAAACTTATTGAACCAAGTCCCGGGAGATTGTTTTAAACCATAAAGAGACTTTCTCAACTTGCACACCTTATTTTCACTTCCCTTGGCACAAAATCCTTGGGGTTGAACTATATACACCTCCTCCTCTAGGTCACCATTTAAAAAGGCATTCTTTATATCTAGTTGATGCAATTCCCAGTAAGGTTAGCAGCCAATGATAGAAGAACTTGAATTGAGTTCATCTTAGCTATTGGAGCAAACATTTCATCATAGTCAACCACATAGACTTGAGTGTACCCTTTTGCTACTAATCTTGCTTTGTACCTTTCAACTGTCCCGTCCGCCTTGGGTCTTTCCCCCTTGGAAGATCCACCAACCTCCAAGTCTGATTTATATGGAGGGTTTGGTAGTGCATGACTTGACTCCCTTTCTTTGAGCAATAGGAATATCAAGGTCATCCACAACCAAAATGGGAGCTGGGGTATCAGTAGGTGCACTAGGGCCTAGTTCATTTGGACTTACCTCCTGGGAGTCTGAAGGTGTCGGTTGCTCAATGTTTGGTGGCTCCACATCTTTATCACATCGCTGATCTCTACGGCGTTTACGTTGGAAGACACAAAAGGGAGCATGGTTCGAAATAGAAGGAAGAGAGACTTGATGGACCTGGACTTGCTTCTCCTCTTCTACGCTACTCTTCCCCTGAGGAGAAGTAGGGAAGAACGATTCAGACTCAAATAAAGAAACATCCATAGAGACAAAAACTTATGACTAATGGGATCGAAGCACCGGTAACCCTTTTAAGAGAAGGGATACCCCAGAATGATACATGGAATAGACTGAGGGTCTAACTTACCACGAGACGGAGACAAATCATGGACAAAGGCACGACAACCAAATACTCTCATGGGAATGGAAAATAAAGAAGATTGGGGGAACAACTAATGAAGGGCCATGTAGTTCAACACTCTAGAGTTCATGTGATTGATGACATAAGCAGCTGCAAATATAACATCCATCCAAAATGTTTTTGGTATATTCATGTGTAACATCACCCCTTATGCTACCTCAAGGAGGTATTTGTTCTTTCTTTTTGCAACACCATTTTATTGTGGTGTTCTTGCAGATGAGCTACTATGAATAGATCCATGAGAGGCAAAGAACTCATTGAGCTCACCATGGAAGTATTTCTTTGCATTATCGGATTGAAAGATTTAGATTTCAACATGAAACTGTGTAAACACCATCCTCTGGAAGTCTTTCACAATCTTTGGAACTTCGTCTCTGCTACGCATGGGAAATACCCATGTATAGCGGGAGAAATCATCAATCAATGTGATAAAGTACTTATACCCGTCCTCAGAGGTTATAGTAGTAGGCCCCCATACACCGGAGTACACAATATGGAAAGGAAAGCTTGATCTTTTATTACTTGAATGAAATGTTGTTCTACATTGTTTTTTTTTTTTTTTTGACAATTGAAATAATTTTATTAATCAGCAATAGACAATAGTACAAAGTCCCCAAGGAAAGGCACGAGTTGCAACCTCTCCAGGCTAGTTAAGTACAGATTTCCAAATTAATAACAACTTACAAAGAAGCACAAAAAAGATCTTCCCTAGAAACCCCCTGTTTGGCTAAAGCATCAGCCAAAGAATTAGCAGACCTACTAACCCATTTTACCTCAACTCTCATATTGCTGGTTAACCACTTTACTTTTTTGATGAGATCTTTGTCGCCCCAAATGGTGGTATCCAAGTTTAGGAGCCACCTTGTTACCACTTGAGAGTCCCCTTCAACTAGGAGATGCTCCACCCAAGCTGGTTGGCGATCTGAATTCCTTGTACTGCAGCAAGGATTTCTGCCCTCGTGGAATCCCCCACTCTCACCAGTCCTGAGAATAGGGAAATTATGTTGCTGTCCTTATTTCTCAGGATACCCCCTATACTTGAAGGCCCGGGGTTTCCTTGGCTGCTTCCATCAAAGTTCAGTTTGATGACACCTTCCAAAAGCGGAACCCATTCTGACAGAATTCTGTCATTCTTTGTTGAAGTGTTAGCTATTACTAGCCAATTCCTCCACAAGTCATCAAAGATATCCACWGTTTTMAGCCAATGGATTGCTCTTGTTAGGATACAATCCTTCATTTCATCTAACCCTCTTTCCTTGTCTAAGAAAGTTCTTGCATTCCTTTCCTCCCAAAGAGTCCACAAAGTGGCTACCCTGACACATTTCCACATGACCTTACCTCTTCTAGTGTGCCAAACAAAAGACAGATGGGTTGAATAACAAGCTTAAATCAGAAGGCATAGACCACATACCTCCAAATAAACAAAGGCCCCACCTCCATATAGCTGTAGCAAAGGAATAGGAGATTAGCAAATGGAAACAGTCCTCATTCTTGGCCTTACACAAGGAACACTAATTTGGGGAAAGACAAAGCGAGGGTCTCTTTTTCTGTAAGTTTTCCAAAGTATTGATTTTCCCAATAGAAGACTTCCCAGTAGAATACAACAATTTTTGGGGGAATAGGTCGCGCCTAGACTTCTTTGGCAGGGAATCCTTGGGAAATAGGGTTAGAACTCAGGGATTTTAGAAAAGAAGAGCAAGTAAAAGTACCTTTTGGAAGAGGAGTCCAAACCCTTTGATCAGAAGAAGTGGGGTCCAAGCAAACGGATTCTAGTAAATGAATTAGCTCAATAACACAACTCGACTCACCATCTCTTAACCCTCTACGAAACCCAAAGTCCTAGTTTAAAGATAAGGGGTTTAACGGGCTCGGGAGAAAAGTTGCAACTGGCTCATGTTTGTGAAGGGAAAGGGAATAGAGCGAGGGGAAACAATCTTTGAGGGGTTGAATACCCACCCAAATATCCTCCCAGAACAGAATAGCATTACCAGAACAAGCATCATACTCGATGAATCCGAGGAAGCGAGGGAGAATACCATGTATAGCATCATACTTCATGTTTGTTCTACATTGTTTACTCGACTAACAAGTATGACATTGGAAATCTAACATTGAACATGACTTAAATAAAAAAGGAAATAAAGACTTCACTATTTCAAATGAAACATGACCCAATCGAGTATGCCACAAAAAAAAAAAAA